TAGTAAATTAAATATTTTATTTATATTTTATATAATAATTTATTATAATTTAATATTAATATAATTTTTAAGCTTAAATATTATTTTAATATGCTAAACATTTATTTAAATTTACTAAACCTACTATACTTTATTGTACTTTAAAATTTTGTAGCAATATCTTTATAATCTAATATTGTAATATTATTGTATTTAGAAAACTATAACTTATTCACTTTACAATTCAAAATCTTATATAACATATAATAAAAGAGGACTTTGGATTTGTCTAATAAAAATTAAGGCTTTTAGTTCTTAAAATTAATAAAGTCTAATAAAATAGATTATATAATTAAGAACTTGAATAAGCAGTTATATTTATAGATTTTACAGAGTTTATACTAGTTATTATGTTAATGTTTTATTATAACTAATACAATATATTTGGAACTTGTTATTTTTTTATAAAGCAAAATAAGATATATTTGTTTTATAGAATAATAATGCTTTTTATTTATATTAAATATTAATTAAACCTTATTTTATTACACTAATTCTTCTTTTATATTTTTTTAATTTATCTAATTTAGACATCTAAACTTTTATTTATCAAATTTCTTTTTATTTTTTTTTAATATGTTTAATAGATAATGCTTATTTTAATAACAATTATTTCAATAACAGTCTATTTTACTTGACTGTTAATTTGTTGCCAATTTTATTTTATTAATAGTTATTTTACTAGCAGTTATTTTATTAACAAAGTAATTCTGATTATTTTTCCTAAAGTTAGTTAGAATTAAATTTAATGTTATTGCAACTTTTTAAAAAAAAACTAGTTAGTAAAATAGACTGTTAATGAAATAATTATCAGTAAAATAAAATTGTTGATAAATTGATTATTAGTAAAATAAGATATTAGTTAAATGATTGTTAGTAAAATAATATATTCTTAAGTTTAATAAATTACATTTTACAATTAATTGCTAAAATATTTATATCAAAAAATTAATTACTATACTTACTTTTATATAATGTTTTGGCATTTTATTTACATTACATTATTGAGTCTAGCAATATATAACAATGCTATATTTAATATTTTTGTACAAAATTAAGTTATACAAATTTTACAATAAATTGTACAATCATACTTTGTTCACAATTTATATTTTATATAGACAGCTTTGTAAATAATATTACTAATAATGAATATTAAATAAATATTAATTAAATTTAAATTTAAAATAAGACTATTTTACATTAATATTCTGCAGAAATTAAATTATAGTCTTTATTAAATAAAGCAAAGCTTATATCAATTTTTCTTCTATTAGCACTTATCTAAAATAAATACTATTATTCTATATATTAACTTACAATTTATAATCTTTAAATATAACAAATTTATATAATTATTATTTATACTAATAAATAATATTTTTATAACTATTAGCTAATATTATATATATTACTTAATTGTATTACTATATATTAAATTCAAATTGATTTTCAAAAAGTAACTATATATAGTAAAAATATATTAAATCATATAGTTAACAAATTAGCTAAAATCTAAAACCAACTACACATACTTAGTTTTTTTATAATAATATATATAATTCATAATACTATCTTTATTATAACAAATATTCTATAGAGCAATCTGCATATATAATAATCAAAAACATTAGTAATGCTTATAATATAACCATGTAGTTTTCTTAATATCAAATAAAAATATCTTATTTATATTTATATAAATTAATTAGAATATTGTTCAGCTTTTTTTTAACAAAAACTATAAAAATTTATATTTTCTATCAATTTTATTCTATTTTATAAAAACTCTTTAAAATCAAATTTGTATTAGAAATACTACCTATATTATATCAGCAAGTTGTACTAATTACAACCTTATATTTGCTAAATAGTACTATTTAATAAACATTTAAATTTAGTATTTTTAAAGTATTTAAATTATAATTACTTATTAAGTATTAAATTTTATATTTATTAAATACTCAATTTTTAAAGATTTTATAAGTATTTAGAACTAATATTTATAATTATAATTCCAATATATCTTATATTTAATAAGTAATTGCTAGGTATTTTTATACTACTTGATAAGCATTTAGTAAGTATTTTAACAAACTTCATGATGTATCTTATTTATATTTTTTTTATTTAACAATATACTTTAATTTTTATTGTATTTTATACAATACATATAATAGCTAGTTATATTAACTAATATTTTTAAACCTATATATACTTAACTTTGCTATTATTATTACAATAATACAATTTATTAACTATTTACAATTTGATATAACAACTATACAATTACAAAAACTATATAATAAACTTACAAATATATATACACAATACAAAGCTTTGTTTCAATTATATTAATTAACACTATATAAGAATACATTATTAGCAACTAGCTAACAATTATATTACAATAAATTCCTAATCTAATTATTTTAAAATATATATAACTAAATTTAAAAATTATACTGCATTATGCACTCTTTTTACTGATCCCTAAGTTAGGAAAAACCAAAAATTACAAAACTGAAAATATAATGAAAAGTAGTATAGCAAGCACTTATCATAGTATTAAAAAAAGCTTCTAGTATCAGAAGCCATTATTGCTTTATTAGAATACAAAAGAAAATAAACTTCCTAAACAACAAATACAAAATTTCTTGATTTTTTTTAACAAAATTTCAAAACTCTTGAGAATTTTTGTAATTTTGGGAATTTGTTGTTAGTCTAGAAAAACAGAAAATTGTAGCATGCAATTATATAATATAAACAAACAACAACAAACAAACCAAACATGTTCCTAATTAGGTAATCACTATATTAACTAGGATTTAACAAAACAACCTATAATATTACAACAAATAAGTGCATATGAATTATCTAAACAAGAAAAACCTGGTCTAGTAGATCAATGGATATAATTCAAAAATCAGATATTATAGATTACATCAGGGGGCTGGGTGACAGAACTGTAGATATATTAACAGCAAAATTCTAAATCATGTTCTAACAACACCTACAAAAAGCCTATGCAATATTGATTATATAGGACCCTAAACAATCTATATAATATCATATTTGGAAAAATGCTAATAGCACCTTTTTTTTAAAAAAAAGTTATATTTATAATTTAGGTATTGAATGTGAAGGTTATATTTCAAAATAGATAATTAAGTTTAAACTATATTTAAAATTTTGCTAATAGTAGTTTTTTTAAAGATCTTATATTTAATCTTTTGATAATAGAGGTTTTAAAATTAATAATCAGCATATGATTTTAAATAAAATAAATAACATATTTATTTGAATTATATAATTTTTAAATTTTATTTTTTTAAAAAAATTAAATATCATAGTAATTTTATTATAATTCATAAGAACATTTATTATTGCTCAGTCAGATAACCTTATTTAAACAAAATAAATGACTTTATTTAACAAAGTTGAAAAGCATATAGGATAAGGGCTCGCTACCTCAGCAGCTCTAATATATATTATCAATACTCCAAATTCAGAGACATCAATTATTAAACAGTAGGTGAAATGGACATCAATACTACTTTGCATATCCCACAAAACAAAGAAACAACTACAACAATTCATAGATTAACTGCCTTCTATGTAGAGAGAAAATGACAATCATTCTTATAGTATAAAGAGAATCAGTATATAAATAAAGGTCGATAACTAATATGATCTCTCTCTTTTACTTTGAATAAAATAATGATAGTGAATCTAAGAATCACAGGGACAAAAAATCTTAACAAACGAAATATGATAATGACGTTTTAACTAAAGGGCACTTAGGGGACTACTATTATTATTTATTTTGTAGTTTTGAACTCAAGAAGAGTTACTTATTCACAATTTGGTTGAAGCATTTAAATACATTTTTTTTTTACTAATTTTACTTTGCATTTTTCTACTGTATCTGCTAATACGCTATTTCTATCCAAATCTGCCAAATCCATTTCTGGCAGATTTAGTTGATCTTGAGTCAATCAACCCAATCCATCTTGGTGTTTATGCATAATATTGTATACTGATACAGTATTAGAATTAAATGACATTTATTCTCACGGTAATCCTATTTGGATTAGTAGTTATTTGCATTGTAAAATGCCATATAAGATACCCTTGATTTGTACTGGGTATGTTTCAAGGTTATTTGTTATGGTGTTTTGTAAGAGATCCAGGTATAAATAAAGGATCGATTTAATAACAAAAATTTTCTTTTACTAATAGGCTAATATATGCTCTTCACAAGATACCCTCATATAATATACACTCCTTTATACAAAATACCTGAGTATCTTATATGGCATTTTACAGTATTTAATACTCATAATGATAATCTTGGATATATGTATTGGTCTCACTTCACAGCAGGCTAAAATGACATATATTAAATAATGGCTATTTACTGTTTCATGCACATTGTTTGAAGTTTCTTTACTGATTCATCGAAATTATAAGTTGTAATATGAATAGCCGTAATACATATATAGCATCTTTCAAAATTCTATTTTTAAAAGAAAAACCTATAGCATTTTTTAGATTATCATCGAATTAGAATTCTCTGAGTTAATTTTATTTCCAAATTTATGCAAGGCAAATCTTTATATAGTTAGAATATAATTAAATAAAAATGTATCGCTTTTATAAGATTATAGTTCTTTATTGAACGTGAAAAAACAATATTGTATTAGATGCATCATATGTGTTTTATACAGATTAGTTTTAACAATTATTATACTAATTGAGTTTAAAAATGTTTAATTATGCTAAAAAAAAGGGGTTTAACTATCACTATAATTTTGATCAATATAAAAATTGCATTTTTTTTTAATTTAAAAATTTAAATTTTTTTAAAATTTTAACATTACTTATTTTTATAAATGACTAAATACATGCTTGAGCATCTTCAAAAACATCCTTATATTTTCTGAGTAATTGAGGATGGCATGACTGTTATCTGTATTTGTGGAAAGCGAATTGTTCTTAAATCAAAATATAATGAAGCATATCTTGATTCTCATGTTAATGGACCAAGATGCAATTGGTCTAGTGGAATACATGCTATAACAGAGTTTTTTGCTCCAGCAGAAAAGACTGTAATTCCAAAACAAAAGCATATACTTTGTAAAAGGTTGTGCGAAGATATTCATATTAATTATATTGAATGTATTCAATTTATTTTATTATATAATGGTGCACCACATAAAGATACTATTGCATAATCTATATTTCCAGATATATTTCTAGAAAATACTCCAGTTCGATATGCATTGCTTAATAAAGATCAACAAGAACAATTAAATCATGCTGAAAGAATGCAAGCAAAATGGAAAATTGAAGGAAAAGCAGTATATGCACAGAATTGTGAAAATTATACTTCAAATATTTCAGAAGTTTGTAATCAGTGCACTTCTATTAATTCAGACCAAGTTTTTTGTATAAGTTACATGTTATAAAAATTAAAAACATATAAATTTATAATAAATTATGTTTTATATTAATTAGAATGCTTTAAATAAGAGACTAGCCATTAAAGAAAATAAAAAATTTACACCTAAATCTCATCTTAGCTCACATCCACTTAGCAATTATCTTTCTAATTCTGATATTGTTAAACTTTCAAGACTTACAAAATCTGATAATAATCATTCTGTTTCATTTTGGAAAACACTTGCTAAAATGGGTGAATGTGTTGCTTTTAATAAAAAAAGGGCTTTTGAAGGCCTGTGTGAAGTTATGGTTGAAATAACAAAATGACATAAAGCAGAAAAAGGATTACAAAATTTAACATATTCTGAAAAATTTTCTAATTTTATATCAATTCTTGCATCTTTAAGTCCACAAGCATACAATCTTTTTTGACAAAATTTGGCTGAAAGAACAATTCAAAATATTAGGTATATAAATTATAAAAATTTAATATGCTAAACAAATTATTGTGGTTTGCAAAAAGGTGTGACCTCGCAGATTATGATAAATCAGAGAATCAAATGATTTTTTGATTCTAAAAGAATTTTACAGATTTTAAAAAGAAATATATTACTAATTGAATATATAGTTGATAGACAATTTTAGAATTTCTGAGATTCCTACTATTATCATCACAGAAATCACAGAGACTTTTTTGCAAACTATTATAGTTTTTAATATTAAAATTTTAAATTATTTTATAATTGATATTTTTATATTTAGATTGCAAAGATCACATTCTGAATATGCACTTCACCATATTAGTCTTTGTTATAAAAATGTTGTACGAGTTAAGTGATTAGTAGATACACTTCAATATAAAGGACCATTAATAGTGATGACAGATAATACAAAACTTAAAGAACAGCTTGGATATTCATCTCTTCTTGAATGTATTGTTGGTTTAACACTTCCAGCTTTACAAACCCATGTACAAAGTCATAATGATATTTATACAATAATTAATAAAATTAAATCAGAAAATGCAATTGCTTCACAAATTAGAGTATATTTATTGCAAGTAAGGTTATGAACTTAGGGGTTTTAGAATTAATGATTTGATATTTGATTTTAAATAAAATAAGTGTTTAAAATAAGCGATATATAAATTTGATTTTTTAAAGCATATACTTATTTACTTATCAAAGAAGCCAATTTTATCACTGGTTTTACCTATTAATTTTCTAATTCAGAATTTTGAAACAGAAAAATAGAATTTTTTAAATTTCTACTTATTTTCAAAATAAGTTAATTCTAAAGCCTCCAATTTATTATATATTTTAAATTTTAAATTTTATATTTAGTAAAATATATAAATATATATAATATATATATTTTAATTAATTTTAGATTCCTATATCAAAATATCTATCATCAGTAATCACATTAATTCCAAACTGCAGTAAAGAAAATGTGGAAGATATTTTTAAGATGCATCAAAGATTTGCTTAAAATGGCTGCTCAATTAGAACTTCCAATTTTGGCATTTGGTGCTGATAGTGCTTCTCCAGAGTTTAATGCACAAAAAAAAATAATGAAAATTTCAACATTACATAAACTTGAGTTTCAGGATAACTTATATAGTAAGTATTAATTAAATTATATATATATTTAAATTATTATTATATATATATATTAATTTTTAATTTTGTAGATATTAAATTTAGTTGTCCAATTATTGAAAATGTCAGTTCTGTAATAAGTATGTCTGATCTGCTTCATGCTAAAAAGGATGCACAAAATGCATTATTTTCTGGTGCATGATTGTTAACATTTGGTTATACTACAGCACATTATGATCATATATTAGAATTGAGTCAAAGTCCTAATAGCATATTATATAAACAAGATGTTGAAAATGTTGACCATCAAGATGATAGTGCTGCATATCGGCTATTTTGTTCATTATTACTTAAACAAGTTTCTGATCAAAATTTTTCTGTTAATAAAAATAAACTGGGTCTTTTTATTTATCTTTATGTATTTGGTAATTATATTAATATATATTTTTTAATCTAAATTATAAATTTAAATTTAATAATGATATATAGTAATTTTTTAATAAATAGGTGAACTTATAGATGCATTTCAAAATCGAGAAATAAAACCATTAGATCGATGTTATATGGTTATGCTTGGTTACTTTTTTTTACACAATTAGAAACATCATATACAAGTATGCACAAATACAAGTTTTGATTTTATGAGTCAACAAAAAAATTTTTTAGTGAGTAAAACATTTAATATTTTAACAAGTCTTATAGAATCAATAGTAAACTTTTAATAGAGATTTAGTTTGCTAATCATAGATTTGTATTTTTAAAATTCTCGGTTTTCAGATTCTCTTAAAATATGTAATACATGTTCACAGTAATTTGAAAAGCACAATAATTTAAAAGTTTTATATTAACTCAATTTTTTTTAGATACTACTTATTATTGCATATCATGATTTTTATCCAACATATCTATTTGTACTGTAAATGTATGGTTCTGAAAGCTGTGAACATTTTTTTGGATTAGCATGTCAATTATTATCAGATTTTTCATTTAATAATCTTATCTTTTTAGTTCCTAAAATATCATATTTTTATAAAGCATATACCTCTGAATCAATTTCAGTTTTTAAAGAGAAAACTTTTGCAACAGGTATAATTTATTAATGTTAAATATTATATGCTATATATCATTTATTAACAATTTGTATTTTATAAGTTATTTTTCTCATTATCAGGATGATAATATTTATAAGCATATTGATAATTTGTGGCAATGGCCCACAAATGAAGAAATTAAAGCCATAATTCATCAAGCATTTAAACATGCAAAAATTTTAACCGATGATATATTAGATATGACATCTATTTCTTTTTAATTATATAATCCATTAATACTTGATGATGAAAATGATAGTGATGAAATGTTAAATAGTATTAATTCTAATCAAGAAAGTTTAAATAATAATTTTAATATTGAAAATCTTTTTATTTCGATAGCTGCAACTGAAATTAATAAGGACAATTGGGAGTTATCTAATGGTTCTTATTTAGATTATGAAGAAGGACAATCAAATTTTTCATTTATTTTACAACCAGTATTAAATTCATCAGCACTAATTATATTTGATATTTTGGATAATGAATCATTTATTAAAATAAATGATATTAATTGTGAGAAAGTAACTGTGATAGCATTAATAAAATTGTGACAACAGCATGAAGCTTATACAAATCAGCCAATAGAATGTTGAACAAATAAAAATCAAAATCAATTTGAAAAATTAAATGCAAATTATACTCAAAGTTTGGTATCATATCTCTTATCTAATGAAACTTCACATTCAGGTATTCCACGTCAAAATCAATAGAAATTAAGATTATGGCTAGATCATTTATCAGATTCTAATAATTAGCAATTACTTAGTAAGTAAATTAATAATATTGAGAGTTTCAGAATTAATGATTCAACATCCAATTTAAATAAAATAGATGATATATTTATTTCAAAATAAGCAATATATAAATCTGATTTTTTTAAAGTATATACTTATTATCATCACTTACTAGTAGATATTTATCAAAAGAAGCTAATTTTATTACTAGCTATGTCTATTTAATTTTCTGATTCAGAATTTAAAACAGAAAATAAATCTTAAATTTTTACTTATTTTCAAAATAAGTTAATTCTGAAACCCCATTATATTTATCTTTTATTTAAATTATTTAATTATTTTAATATTTTATTCTATTAGATATTTCAAACATTACTATTGCAAATATTAATGAAACACATTTGATAAAACAAGGAGGATTTGCAATTGCATATTATAAAAAAAAATTTTATATCACATACATACTTGCCCTTTATTATAAAAATAGCAACTATCATTCATTTATTTCCAAACATCATTCGATTGATGATTTATCTTATATTTCAGCCAAAATATTTTTTTCTCTTCAGCATAATATTATTTCATGTTTTTTTAGTTCAGGTTATTCTATTATTTCACATTTGCCTTCATCAGCTATTCTTTATTATTTAGGAATTAGAAATTTTTTAAAACTTAATGAAAATATAGGATTATTAACTATTTCAGAAAAGGCACTGGAGTTATTTATATATTTTAATAATATAGAGACAAAAAAGAGATTATATATAATTTTAGATCATTAAAATATTAAATAACTATGTATTTATATTTTGGATGTTTATTGTAGTATTATGTTTAGAATACAAAACATATTAGTGCAAATTTTTTTCAAATAAAAAATATTTTATTGTTTTCTATTGTATTGAGATTTTCAAAATAGTAAATAAGTACTGTAAATTGCTATATACAAGGTTCAGGTCTCTTACATTCCACTAATTTTAAAACTATAATAGATCTTGGGCCTAGCATGCAGCCAAGAGTTTATAACATTAAAGAAAAAACTTTGAGGAGTATGCACATTTTGCATTTTAATAGATAGTCTAAATATCTGAAAAAACTCAGATTTAATTAATACAGATCCTGTGATTCACATCTGGATTTACTATATGGTATTTTGTATATGATGATTTATTGTGGTAGCCGATTATCCAATAGAATTAATACAGATTCTGTGATTTGCACCTGGGTTTATGGTATTTTGGTAATTTATTAGGGTGGCCAATCATTCAATAGAATCAAACATATGTTAGTCTCATTGAATTTTGTATAATAATAGATTTTTTGATCAAGAAATTATAGCATAGTTGTTATATTAAAAGATTAATAAAGTTCTTTTGAATATTTAACGTTTAATAATAATTTTTTTTAGATTTTAATGTTTTTCACTCTTTATTGCATCTTTAACTCTATGTTTTCAGATTTTATATACTATAGTAAATCTTTAATTAAAAAAAAATTCAAAACTGGTACATATATGTATAAATTATATATATATACACTGGTTTTGAATTTATTTTTTAATTGAAAATTTTACTATAGTATATAAAATCTGAAAACATAAAGTTGTTAAAAATGCAGTAAAAAGTGAAAAATGTTAAAATTGAAAAAAATTTATTATTAAATGTTAAATATCCAAAAGAACTTTATTAATCTTTTAATATAAAAACTGCATCATAATTTTTGATCAAAAAATCTATCATTATACAAAATTCAATGAGACTAGACATATGTTTGATTCTATTGGATAATCAGTTAGTGATTTATAGTAGAAGATAAGTAGGATTGTTTAAATATTATTTTTATTATGTTGAATTATAAATCTAAAAATAAACTAAAAGTGCATGATTTCATCAGTTTTATAAGCAATTTATAGCTAAGAAAAACAATTGACAAATTACAGAATTAAATACAGTGATAATTTATAATTATTATGTAGTTTTATAAATGGTTTCATAAGTGATTTATAAGCAGATTATAGCCAAGACAAGCAATTGACTAATTTGATATAATTGTACATTTCAATTTCATATAATATCAATTTCATTTTACTAATGCTAATGCAATATTAATCTTATTTTACTAATGCAATATTATATAAATGATTGGACTAAATTTTATAAAATATTATTATTAATTTTTAATAATCACCAAATTAAAAAAATCTGCTTATATAAATAAATTTAAAAATTTGATATCTTAATAAATTTTGAAGCTATTCTTATGATTTAATATTCAAAAGAAAGCTGGATCTTAAGCTTTTTTTTGACTATTAAATTATAAAATTTATACAGTGAAATTAATACATTAATTTTTTTTAAAAATACTAATCTGCTTGATTTTTATTAACAATAGCCTATATATTAAATAAATTTTTAATAAATAGATTCTAATATCTATGTATTAAATAAATATTTAAATTTTATTTTAAACTAAATTAGATTAAAAATGTAATACTATATAATAATAGTGCACATGGATATTATTTTAAAAATTGTATAACTTTTCTCAAAAAATTAATTATAAAAATTCAAATTATTATGCATATATGTTTTGAAATAATGTATATGGTCTCAAACTAATGCACAAGTATGCATTATTATATATATATATAGTAATAATAAAGTTTAATAAAATTTTATTTTTTAAAATTGTTATATTTAAAAAATAGTTAATTTTAGTAAAATATCTTATCTGATATTTAAAATTTTGCTAATAGTTACTAATTTAAAAATGCTAATAAAAAAAATTTTTTATATGATCTTCAAATATAATTTTATATAGATTGTTCGGAGTTCTGAGTATATTGCAAAAGATCTTGCATTAAGTGATCCAGGCCATATTACACTTGATGACTTATTGCTCTATAGTCAAATTTTGGAAGTTCTTCGTCTTGCAGAACTAGGATAGTTAGAAAAAAGTATTACAAACAAATGGCTAACTAAGCTTAGAATAATAAATCAACATCCAGGCTCTATAGAATATATATTAAATATAAGCCAGAAAAAAAGTACTCAAGATAAAACAGAAATAGAAGAAATATCTAAAGTCAAAGAAGTAAAAAAAACAAAGCTTATAATCAGTAAAAAGAGACAGCAAAAAGAAGATAGCACAGAGAAAAAAACCAATTAAGACTCTACCCCAAATTTAAGACTAACAGAAGCTGCTCTAGAAGACAACAAAACAAGCATTAAAAAAAGTAAAAAGCTAAAAGAAGATGCTGAAGTACAGTAAATGATATGCTTTATGATTTCATAAAAAATATTGAAACAATTGACAAAAGAATACAGAACATGGGAAAAGAAGATAATGATAATGCAGAAACAATATTTCTAAATACAATTGAACATAGCTAATGGTTACCAAGAAACAGAATTTGTGACAAAAAAAACTCCTTTAAGGCAAATATGCCAGTCTATGCATTACTAGGAGTTCCAAAAAAAAAAAAAGTCAAATATGTCAAGTGAATTGTAGGGAAAAACTACTATATTAAAACAATAAAGGAAGTTTTCAAAAAAGGCAATAACTAGGTTGAGATTGATTTCAATTGTAAATATAGTAGAGATCAAGCAATGGACAGAATTAGAAAATAAAAAGGTGACTGGCTTAAACTTATCTCAGAAGAGAGCAGTGAACAGAAGAAAATTGCTGAGCAACAATTTAAAGATAATAAAAAAAAGAGAAAAGAATATACAAAGCCAACAAGCCTTATAGAAGCAATTAAAATAGAAGAACCCAATGCAATTAATGATGATTTAAACTAATACAACTACTTCATGATTTGGGACCTGCCAGCAAACATTAACTCAGAAGAAATAAAATATATATGCAAAAACATTAGGAAGGCACAAGTAATTCAGATCAAAAGATTGAAGTTTAAAGCTTTGGCAGTAATTAAAACAGATTGTCTTACAGAAGAGAACATCCCATGGTCATTACCAATTGGAACCCACAAATTAGCAAGGGTAACCAAAGGTAATGAGAACCATAATCAATGTAATCAACAAAGCCAGTTTACAACAAACTTAAGAGACCTTCCAGCAAATGCATTAGAGGTGTTGCTTCTATATTGTCTAAAAAGCAAAAAAACAAAGTCTGAGTATATACCATCAAATAAAAATAGTAATCAGAAAAGGTCAGCAACAATTATATTTGCATCCAAAGAAGAAATAAATATAGTAAAATCAAAACCAATAAGATACAACAATTATTAAATTTTTTGGAATGAAGCAAGAGTAGAAAAGAAGAATTTCAGAGAAGATAAACAAAAGTACAGAAATACTGAAGATCTTAAGGTTGATATAAACAAAGAAGAATTTAAAATCAACTTAAAAACTAAGAACACAAAGAGTGAGAAAGAGAACAACACTCATATAAGTCAGTCTAATTAAGCAAAAGAAAATAATATTTCAGACCAAATGCAAGAATTACTGCAAAAAATATTATTAAGATTAGATAGACTAGAA